CTGGCACCCAAGCATGGAATCCCAATTCCAGGGACAATTTCAGAGTCAAATCAAGATTGTGGAGCCGACTCCTTCCTGTTTTCTGTAAGTAATCAGCTCCCACAGCTGTGTTCTCAAGCTGTTGTGGGAAAGTCAGCTCTGCAAAGTGCTGAGGCAGAGAAAGGCAGGGTGAGTTCTGCTGTGTGCCCATTCTGGCCACCCCAAAACATCCCCTGCTCCAGTATCCCATGGGTGATTCAGATGAGTAATGACAGGGGTAGAGCTGAAGTGAGAAATAATTAAAATTTGCAGTGCTTTGATGAGTCCAGCACTGACCAGCACAGCACTAATGTGTCCTGAGCCCTGGTTCTGCCTGGAAACCACAAGCCAGGTCCCTGCTAGGTGGAGGATTGCCTTGGAAATTGCTTCACTTTGTGGGGTGTGTGAGGGAGTTATTTTCCTTTCTGTCTCTTCATTCCTGAGCCTGTAGAAATTGGGGTTTGGAGTGTTTTGCAACGATCCTGAAGGACAGAGATTTTTGTGTAGAGAACACTTTCACATGATGGGATGATTACAGGAAGCCAGGCTTGAAGAGGCAACTAAATAAACTAATAACAGCAAGTATCAGCAGATTTGAGATGAAACCAGGGAGGCTGGCAGGGCTGAGATGTTATTAGTTCCAGATGTTGCTCACAGATAAATATCTCTGGCCTGAGCTTTTCTAATTACTGACAGAAACTGAGCTGTCACGTTAAGATGCCTCTGAAGGCTCCCTGAGCACATTCATTACAGTCCAGGCAGGACTGATATCCATTCATATTTCCTTTTTTTTCATTTGTTACTCAGGAATTTGCTGAATGAAATTCCATTTCTGTGCTGTGCTCAGATTTTGGGTGAGAGGAGTAGACAAGGAACCTGAACCCAGCTGTGCTGCTGGGATCTGCCACACTCCTGATAAGGGAAATTTATTCTGAGCAGCCCAGGACAGCTCTGCCAGGGCCATTTCCATATCTCTGCTCAGCCAGGGCTGATTAAGGAGGAGAGGAGTCAACTGAGGTACCCGAGCCCAAGCTCATCTGTGCTGCAGTCACTGCCTGACATCAGATAATTCCCCAGGGGAGGCAGCTTTGATCAGGCTGCAGCACTGGGGGAAATGCTGGGGAGCGATCCCTGATGTTTTGCATCTGGTCCATTTTCAAAAGTGTTTTCATGCAGGGAGGTTTCTCTGGGGGAGGAATGGCAGCACTGAGGAAGTGTGGGCCCAGCCCTGAGCCCTTCCTGCTGCTGCTGGCACTGGGATCACTGGGGGGGATCCAGCTCTGGGTTCCTGCCAGGAGGAAATGTGGGTTTGGGGTTGCAGGTGGGAGGGAAGCCCTGAGAGCTGGGTATGTGCTCCCTGCTGGGTGCTGGGGTGAGAAAACACCAAAGTTTCCTTGGAGCCAGGCTGAAATTCCTGTTAAAAGGGACAGTTCTCTGTGAAACCTTCCCTGGCTCCTTCCCTGTGCATGTTTGGAGCTGAACATCACAGGAATGGGGAAGGAACATCCCTGTGGCATCCCTGGCAGACTGAGCTGGGCTGGGCTCTGCCCACCCTCTGCACTGACAGTGTCAGGCCAGCTCTGGGGAGCAGGGACAGGAAAGTGAAGGTGCTGGGCTGGGGGTCATGTTTGTTTGTTTAACTGGAGCTGCCTGCCCTGCAGCCCCTGAGCTGGGTCACTTGTTTGCAACCCAAACTTGTTCCTGGGTGAGAACTGGTAGAACCCGCTGAGGACAACAGGAATTTTCCTAAAGCCCCCTGGGCTACAACAGATAATAACAAACTGCCCTGACTCTATTAAAAAGACATTTAAGCATCAGGTCACATTGTTTAGTAGTACTGGGATGCAGCAGAGCCAGCTGGATTCCCAGGAATCCTGCAGATAGGGGCTGGAAAACTGCTGGGAAAGGGCCAGTGAGGGGCTCATCCCTCTTGGTTTCTCCAGAAATCCTCCTTTTCCTTTCCCTCTTTATTCTTCTGCTGTGCAAACAGAGGGAGGGCAGCACTGCCAGACCGAGCCTTGCAGCCCAAGGAAGTTTCTGTTCCTCTTTTTGTTCTTCCTTCTCTGGGAAAAGACTCTGGGAGACACAGGGAGGGATGATCTGGTTTGGATATCAAAGGAGTGAATGGCACAAGGTGTGTTTTTTGCTGGAAAAGCACCTGAAGCAGCCCCATCTCACTTTAACCTGCTCCAGGCTGCTTCCTCTTGTTGTGTATTAATTGCTGAAGTGTTTTAATAACCCTTGGTCAAAGACAACTGCAATTCCTGGCACATCACAGGACAGCTGGGAAGGATGTTTGACAGCTGTCAGTGGGAAAAGCTGTGTATCCTAAAGGGATTAGAGTCCTTGCTTTGAAGTTCCTCACAAGTTCCAGAGCAGAGAAGCCAGACTGGGAGCAGGGAGCGTGGAGCAGCTCAGGTGAGGTCACACCACAAATGGGAGGCAGGAACAGGAGCACTGGGGTGTCAGGGGCACAGGGCTCTCCTGGCGAGGGTTAAACACCCAGGGCTGGCCCTGCAGGGTGGGGACCCTCTGGTGATGCTGAATCCATCCTGTGTCCCTCACAAACACAGCTCATCCCAGGCTGCCCCTGCGTGTTTGAAGAGGGTTTAACAAGCCAAACACAAGAGCAGCCCTGTTGCCTTAGAGAGGGTGTAGCTGTGAGCAAAATTTGGCCCTCTCTTGTAGACTCTGCAGTTTGTCTTGACTGCTGCATGCTTTATTTTTAGAGCATCATAAAAGGCTTTTGTTCCAGGGTATATTTAACAGGGGAGTGGAGGGGAAGTGGGAGGGTTTTGTTCACAGAGAATGTATCTCTTGGTCTCTTTCTTCTATCCCACCCCCTCACCAGATACTCTTGGAGGGTGGAGTATAAATGAAAAAAAAAAAAGAAAAGAAAAGGAGAGAAAATAATAATTAGAAATCCTGAAATCACAGTCAAAGGGATTGTCTGGGCGTCCAGGCCTGGAGGCTTCCGAGGCGCCACAAAACTCCATTATCACAAAAAAGGCACAAAAGGTGCCCAAAGGATGGAGGGGGCAGGACAGGGGTGGTCCTGTCTGGCAGGGGCAGTGCCCAGTGACACATCCCAGCCATGCAGGGCTGGCACTGGGGCTTTGCCAGCACCAAGCAGGGTCTGGGGGTTTGTTCTTCTCCTGTGCCCTGTGCTGGGGGGCACAGCCCCATCCCTGCTGCCCTGAGCCAAATCCAGGTGGCACAGGACACCTCCACTGAGAGAGAACTGGCCCTGCTCAGCTCTGCCAGACACGTTTCTGTCTCTCTTTTCTTTCTCAGGGTTTTCCCCTCAGAGGTCAGGGCCCTGTCCTTCCCCTGTCTGCTCTGGCAGCGTTTTCTCCTCCTTCACTTTTGTTGCTGGAGTCTGTGGAGGTTGGAAGAAACTCGGAAATGCCCCGAGGGGATGTTGCAGCTCTGCAATAACCAGAGCCAGTGAAATCCTCTCTGCCTGCATGGGGTAAAGGACACGGACTCAGAGCTGCCACTGTGGGCACCATGAACTCGGCAGGGCCTCATTAATTGGAGATAAAATCAGAGTATTGATCAACTGCTGCCACAACTGCACAGATGAGTGCTGCCCTTGGCCTAACAGGACACGGCCCTGCCCGTGGCACGGGGTTGGGACTGGATGATCCTTGAGGTCCCTTCAACCCAGCCCACTCCAGGATTCTCCATGGGTTCTTCCAGCTTTGGGGCGTTGCTGTCCCCTGCTCCTGGTGCTCTCCAGCAGTCCCCAGTGGGTCTGCGCTGCTCCAGCCCCTTGGCTTTCATTCCCAGAGCAGCCTCTGCCCAGCCCCTGGATCCTGGCACGTCCTGGGTTTGTCAGCAGGAACCCCACGGTCACTGCTCATGGAGGTGCTGGAGGCTGTGGTACCCAAAGGAAAGAGCTCTGTGCTCACAGAGCCTGTGTGGACACGACTCCTGCCTGCCCTGTGTCCCCAGGGAGAGCCACACTCAGAGCTGTGACACCCCCAGAGCCGTGCAGGGCTGAACTCATGGGGCAGGCAGGAGTGAGACACGATGGATGGGGGGGTGAGAACGAGGGGTGGAAGCTTTTCTTTTTCCCTTTGTTTTAAGGCTTGTATCAACTTGCCTGGCAAAATCCTCTGCTGCCTTCCAAATCCAGTCACCGTGAGTCACGGCTGAGCCCATCCTCGGCTCCTCATTGCAACACGGATGACAGAAACCATCCAGCAAGAGGGCTTGAATCCCTGATGAGTTTTGTTCTATTGCACAAACCTCTTCCCCGGGTGCAGGGGAGTTGCTGCAGAGGTGTTGTCTGGGTGGGATTCCTGCAGCCCCTTCCCAAAGCCCCCAAACAGAGAAAGGTTATCCCACAGCTCAGCCCTGCTCCTGACAGACCCAGAGCACTGCAAGGGCTCCCTGAGCCAGGAGATTTACGGAATATTTTGGTACCTAAAGTTAGGGGGGTTAAGGTTCATTTTTTAAGAGGGAAGACAAAAAAAATCTCCTCGTGTTCTGGAGTGAGCGGCTGAGAGGAGGTGAGGAGAGGCAGGAAAGGATTTTCCTGTCAGTACAACTACCACGGACAGATGAGAGGAAACTTTCTCCTTCCCTAATTCATTCCTTTACAAACACATGTATTTTGAGTGTATTTATATATGAAGAAACAGCAAAGGACGAACCAGCCCCCAGCTCCGTAGAAATGACAGCTCCTTGGCACGGCAGGCATGGAACCCGTGCACCGACCTGAAACTCATTATTATCCCCGAGATGAATCCCCGATCCCGCCCCTTTCTGCTCTCCCCGGGGGCTTTTCCCTGGCAGGCCGGCAGGGACAGGGTTACACTGCACCTGTCTGGGTGTACCTGTCCCAGGGCACCTGTCCCGGCAGCCAATCCCGGCACGGCCGCCCCACCTGTGCGAGCGCTGCCATAAATCAAACACCTGGCAGGGAATGTCTGTGTGAGCAGCACCGAGCAGCGCTGCTGAGACTCACCGCGGCGATGTCCAATGAGCTGGAGTAAGTGAAGCCTTTATCCCTTCTCCTGTTTGGGGAAATTCCTAAGGAGCTGAAGTGTGAGCCTTTATCCCTTCTCCTGTATTGGGGGAATTCCTAATGGGCTGAAGTGTGAGCCTTTATCCCTTCTCCTGTATTGGGGGAATTCCTAATGGGCTGAAGTGTGAGCCTTTATCCCCTCTCCTCTGCCTCAATGCCCAGTGAGCTGGAGTAAGTGTGAGCCTTTCCCCTTTTCTGCTTGGGGGAAATGCCCCATGAGCTGGATAAGTGTGAGCCTTTCCCCTTCTCTGCTTTGGGGAAATGCCCCATGAGCTCGATAAGTGTGAGCCTTTCCCCTTCTCTGCTTTGGGGAAATTCTCAATGAGCTGCAGTAAGTGGAGCCTTTTTCCCTTCTCCTGCTTTGGTGAAATCCCCCATGAACTGGATAAATGTGAGCCTTTCCCCTTCTCTGCTTTGGGGAAATTCTCAATGAGCTGCAGTATGTGGAGCCTTTATCCCCTCTCCTCTGCCTCAATGCCCCATGAGCTCGATAAGTGTGAGCCTTTCCCCTTCTCTGCTTTGGGGAAATGCCCCATGAGCTCGATAAGTGTGAGCCTTTCCCCTTCTCTGCTTTGGGGAAATGCCCCATGAGCTGCAGTTCCTTCTCCCCTCTGCCTCAATGCCCAATGAGTGCAGCGAGTGCAGCTTTTTCCCTTCTCCCCTTTTCTCACCACCGGGGCTGGAGGGGATTCCTGGGCTGCTCCTCTGCCTGCCCAGCTGTTGGTAAAGCAGGAAAGAACGGGGTGGGAGCATTTTCCTGATTTTCTGTCGCTGGTGCTGCTCTGGGGAGGAATCACTCCTCAGAGTCAATCACTCCTTTTCACTTGGGACTTGTTAAAAACCAAGATCCTGGTTGGTTTTTTATCCCCGGCTAAAACTGACACATGGGGTTTATGTCTAAAGGGAATCTGCTCTGCCTCTGTCCAGCAAAATCTAACAGCAGCTGCAGGAATCTGGTTTAACTTTATTTATTTGAGAAAATACCTTCCAAAGTATTTACCAGTCTCTAGTTTCTAGGGGTGGGGATTGTTGTGTGTCTTTTTTGTTGCTTTTGTTGAGGGCTTTATGATTTTTTTTTTTGTTTGTTTGGGTGCAGTTTTTTTCTTTCTTTGGGTTTTTTGTTTGTTTTGGGGTTTGGTTTTTGGGGTTTTTTTGTTGTTTGTTTGGGTTTTATTTGTTAAGTAAATGAATTCACACTATGACCCTGTCAAATAATTTATTATTTTAAATGAGAAAAAGCTTTTAATGCCTATTGATCCTGTATAACCCTGGTTTCTAATTTTGGCACCTGTGATATATTTTGGAGATCTGGATGCTGATGGTATCAGTGCCTCGCACCTCTGAAATAAATAAAGGCGAGCAAGTGTCAGGGTGGCAGAATGCTGCTGAACGCCAGCCCAGTCCAGAACCCCGCGTGAAGGATTTGTCTGTAAAATATTTCTCGAGAAATAGAAATTACATCTGTCTGTGTAAGGACCTGGTGCTTCCAAGGCGTTTTTTGGGAGAAAGCCGCACGCCCGAGTGTGTTTACCAGAGCTGCTGTGTCAGCCCATCTCCTCCTAATGAAGAACCCTGCAAGGGCACGGCAGTAATGATTATTTTATGTAAATCGTGGGATCGATCTGCGCGGATCGATCGAGAATCCGTCAGTGCAATTTTCCCTTTCGGAAGTTTTTGGGTCATTCAGAACCGATACTTTTTATGTTTGAGGCCGCGTTTGGCAGCGGGGAGGCGCGGAGCGTGCGATTGATGGATTTATCGCTAATTAGGGCCGGAATTACACGGCTGCTGCCTCTGCCCTCCCAGCGCTGTTAACCCTGAGCCTGCGGGCCGGGGGAGAGCCCTTCCCACAAACCATCCCTGGGGAGGATCCGGGATCTCGGGAAATTCCGCTTTACTTCAGCGCGGCTGGAGCGGCGGCAGCCCCGAACAGCGGCCGGGGGACACTTCGGGCCGGAGCTGCTCGCCCAAAGCTCTGCAGGGAATTCCTTGGGAATGGGAATTCCTTGGGAAAGGGAATTCATTGGGAGTGGGAATTCATTGGGAGTGGGAATTCTCGGCAGTGGGAATTCCAGGGAATGGGAATTCCTTGGCAGTGGGAATTCCTTGGCAGTGGGAGTTCCTTGTGAGTGAAATTCCTGGCAGTGGGAATTCCCGGGAATGGGAATTTCATGGCAGTAGGAATTCCCGGCAGTGAGAATTCCAGGGAATAGGAATTTCATGGCAGTAGGAATTCCCGGCAGTGAGAATTCCAGGGAATGGGAATTCCTTGGCAGTGAGGATTCCAGGCAATGGGAATTCTCGGCAATGGGAATTCCTGGCAGTGGGAATTCCAGGCAATGGGAATTCTCGGCAATGGGAATTCCCGGCAATGGGAGTTCCGCAGCACCAGGGGAGCAGGGAAAGGCTCAGCCCCGTTTGCTCGCAGGGCAGGAGGTGTCAGCGGGGCAGGAGCTGAGCAGAGGCTGCCAAAGCCCCTCCGGGAGCCGAGGGCTCCGAGGAGCTGCGAATTTGGGGAGAATGGCGAGAATGGCCAGGGAGCAGCCCCGGAGCAGCCGGGCACAGCTGCCCAGATGTGCAGGAGCTCCGATATCTCCATTCCCTCGCTCAAAACGCCACGGCCCGCATGGTCCCTTCCCACCTCCCCTTTTGGGATTTAAAATTCCCAGAGAGGACTGGAAGGGAGCAGCGGGGCATGGGAGGGGGAGATGTTTTGCCTATTCTAAAATATTCTAACTGCTGATTTCCATAGTCTTCTAAGCTGAACCTGTGTCTAACTCTGCCTGCGTGGGCTGGAAGGAGTTAACCAGGAGTTACTCCCAGTTGTGGTTTTGTGGTCGAAACCATGATCGCCAGAAGCAAATTTTTGTCATGCATAAGGTGTGTTATTAAAACTTGAGTTATGCTCCTGGTGAATGAAAAGTTAAAGCCCTTTTATAAAATCCTGGCAGCAAAGCACACAAGGGATAACCGTGCTGGAGCAAGGGAGGCTGGCTCGGATTTTTTTTTTTTTTTTAAGTTATGTAAAGAGAAAAAGAGATTTGTAAATTAAAGAAACAACAATCAAATAACTGCTATGCAATTCCCAACAAAGGAGTAAAAGCCCTGTGAATAAACTCCAGACTCAAAGCAGGAGTGAATCAACATTTGCTCAGTATCTCTGCTTTGATGCTTTGGGTCACATTTGGGGCTGATTGGTCCATGGGAATGGTTCCAGGGAAATTTGCAGAATAAAGAGTTCCTGGAGGAGGATTTGTTCTGGCTTGGTTCTGGCTGGGGTTTGAGCTGTTCATCAGTGTAACATCCAAAAATGCACTTGTGCCTGGATTGCACCTGCCAGCCCTTGGGATCAGCTGATTGGCAGGGACAGGGATCCTGGAATTGAGTGTGCTCAAAAAGGCAACAGCTGAAAAATGGTAATGATCAAAATGATAAAAATGAGTGGGACTCATTACTGTACATATGATTGTATGCCATTGCTCACAGCCAAGTTCCCAAGGCTTGGACGGTCAGAAATTTGGAAGAGATTGGGGTTAGATGGGATATGGGGAGGAAATTCCTCCCTGGCAGAGTTGCCCAGAGCAGCTGTGGCTGCCCCTGGATCCTGGCAGTGCCCAAGGCCAGGCTGGCAGGGACAGTGGGACGTGTCCCTGCCATGGCCTGGGTGGTCCCTTCCCACCCAAACCACTGCAGGTTCTGAGGGTTCATCTCTTGTCCCTTGAGGTGTCAGTGCTGTTCTGGCTGTGGGGTGAGGCTGATCCAGCCCCATCCCTGTCCCAGCCTGGTCACACTCGAGTGCTGAGAGCCCCAGGGCTGGCACTGCCCCTGAGCCCCCTGCTCTGCCCCTTCCTGGTCCTGCCGTGCCCTGCCCGGGCACCCTGAGCTCTGCAGAAATGTCTGATGTTATGGGGTGAATTAGGTTTGTTTGGCAGAGCCTGGAACCTGAATCAGGTTTGTTTGGCAGAACCTGGAACCTGAATCAGGTTTGTTTTTGGCAGAGCCCTTGTGTGAAGCTCCTTGTGCTGGGGTTGGGTTTTGTGTGGAGCAGCCAAGGAGAAGCTGCAGCTCCTGTGCTCCCAGGACACCGACCCAGAGCAGGGACACGCTGCACCCTGGAGCTGGGATTGCTCAGGATGGGCAGGGACAGGGGGAGCCCAGCCTGGCTGTGCCCCTGCAGGGCCCTGGAGCTGCTGGGCAGGGCAGGGAGCTCCATGTGAGGCTCCTGTCAAGTGTCCTGCCCTGGCACAGCTTCCTGGAGCCTCTTGGGCAACAGGATCCACCTCTGGCACCCTGAGCAGGGCACCAGCCCCGTGCCCGGCGTGCAGCCAGGCAGGGGAGGGATCAGCACAGCCCTGGCTGGGGGGACCCCTGTGCTGGGACTGAGCACAGAGCTGTGAGGCTGAAACCCCCAATCTCTGCTTCCTTGGAAAGCTGTGACATCCCCAGGGTGACCCTGCTGCAGCCTCTGGCAGGATGCGCTGAGGGAAGCAGAGACCTCTGAATAAAGCTGGGCTTTGTTCTCAGCACAGACAACCCATAATAGCTGATTGCTGGCTTAAAAATCCACATTATCTGAAGAGCAGTGAAAAGGAAACAAATTTTATTGCAGAAGTTTGTGTATTATGGCTGCCACTGGTGGGTTTTAAATCCACATCTTGTAAAACCCTGATTTTTTTAAAATTTCATTTTATTTAGAGGTCATGGCTGTTGGAGTTGGAGAATGTACAAAAATTACCTGTGAAATGTTCCTGTTGGTGGGTGAGGCACTGAGACCCTCAGTGGGGTTTGTGTCCAGGAATAACTGTACGTAAAGTGTCTGTGTCTGTCCACAGTGGAAACAGGAATGAGAGTGGAGTTTTCAGCAATATTCCAGAAGTGGGAGCAGATGCTCAGGGCCTGGTTTTGTGTCTCCCTTTGGGGTCAGATACCCCTGAAACTCAGGACACCCCAAAACGGAACCTGCTGGGAATGCTCAGGTGCCTGAGCTGAGCTAGCCCTGGGCTGAGGCTGCTGAAATGCCCAAAGCCAGGGACAGAGCCCACATTGTTCTGCAGCTGCCAGAGAAAATATCCCAGGAAATGTCCCGTGGGCAGAGCAGGACAGGGCCAGGGGACAGAGCCTGGTCTGTGGGGTGACACCGTGTTGTGCTTGGCACCCCAGCCGTGTTTTCCATCCTTGGTCTGTGTTTGTTGTGTTTCTTTCTGTGTTGTTTTTTTCCCTGGTTCTGTCTCTGTTTGGATTTTTGCCTGGCTGTGTGAGCGGGATGGTGACAATGCCCTCACTGCTGCCTGTGCTGTCACTTTGTCTTCAGGTGTGCTTGTTTATTAAACCTGCACAGGAATTCCAAAATCCCAGCTCAGCTGAGAGCACTGAGGGCCCTTGTTGGGATTCTGTCCTCCCTGACAGGGCTTTGCAGGCCACAATCCCTGCCCTGTGCAGGGCACTGCTGATCCTGCCCTGAGCTCCTGCCTTGGGCAGCTCCAGGGTCATTCCAGGAGGGAGGAGAGGGCTCTGCCCAAGCCCAGGGCTGGTGGAGCCCCCACAGGAGCTGCCTGGGCACCCCTGAGCCCCTCAGGGCTGGGGCTCTGTGCCGTGCCTGTGTTTGCTGCTCTCCAGGGCTCAGTGGGATCTGCTCTGCAGGGCCAGGGTCAGGCTGGGCTCGGTCAGCTGCAGAGGAGAGAACAAAGGCACCAAAGCTCCCACAGCCACCACAGGGGCAGGAGGAGTTCAAGGGCCCTTTCCTGCCCCAGCTGGACCCTGTGGGCACGTTCTCCTTTGCAGCATGGCCCTGAGTGTTTATCCATCACCAGGAGAAATTGGGGAAACAGAGATGGGCTGGGCTGGAGCGGGAGAGGGGCCGGGATCACCTTGTGTCATGCTCCCAGGTGTTTGGAAACAAACAAATGCTCCCTGCCCCAAACCCTGCTGTGCACATGGCCCCAGCTCCGGTGTGCACAGGCCAGGGAGGTGCTGCTGCTCCCAGGGTTGTGTTTCCCTGGCCTGGAGAGGAGCTCTGGCCTTGCCAAACACGCCAGGGAGCTTGGAACGGGCAAACAGGGCCTGGCCACGTGCAGGGGCATCACAGGCAGGAGCAAAGTAAAGTTCAGCTGTGTTTGGATGTGGGTTTGGGTGACTTTCCTGCTGTGTTTGGATCTGGATTTGAGTCTCTCCCTGCAGCTGTGCCTCACAGAGGCTGCTGATGGGGTCTGTGTGTCCTGTAGGTCCTGATGTCAGAAAGGGGCCTTGGATTTGTCACACACCTGCTTCTCTCAGATCCCCTCAGACACTGGGGAGCTGTGGTGGCCTTTGGGAGCAGGGTCAGAGCAGGGCTGATCCCAGGATGGGGTGGGTGCTCCCTCAGTCCCTGCAGGGTGGGTTCTGAGGGGCTCCAGTCACACATCCCAGGGCCTGCCAGGGATCCCAGGGACTCTGGAATGGGAACAGGGTGCAATTCCTGTCACCCAGGGCAGCTCCCAGTGCATGGAGCAGCTGCTGTGCCTCTGCAGGCCCCTGTGGGTTCTGAGCACTCCCCAGCTCTGTGTCCTGCTGTCCTGAGCTCTGCTGTCCCACCGCTGCCAGGAGCACCAGGGGCTCTGCGTGCCCACGCTGGGCTCTCTCCAGCTCAGGGCACTTTGCCTTTGCTCTCTCCAGGCTGGGGCAGGGCAGGTGGCCCTGGGTGGCCCTGGGTGTCCCTGGGTGTCCCTGGGTGGCCCTGGGTGCCTTTCCCAGGTTTCTCCCAGCAGAGGTGAGGGGCAGGAGGGAATACTCACACGAGGAATGCTTTATTTGAGGGAGGATGAATCTCCCAGGGAATATATCGGTGTTTTTAAGCTCGCGGGTGCTTTGTTGCCCCATCCTGCCCCGTGTGTTGATCCCTGCCGGTTCCCAGGTCGGAGCCGAGCTCTGTCCCTGGGGAGGATCGGGGAGCTGCGGGTCCTGCCCGGGCAGGAGAGCCGAGCCTGAGTCACTGCCGGGCCCTGGGAGGCAGCGGGCAGGAGCAGGAGGAGGAGGAGGAGGAGGGAGAAAGGCTCCGTGAGAAGCGCTAAAGAGAACGAGACCGCCGGGGCACTGCGGGCTGAGAGCGGGGCCGCTGTGCCCGGGAGCGGTGCCAGCCCTGCCCAGCCCAGCCCCGCCGGGCACGGAGCCCCGGGAGCCTCCGGGGCTCGGGGATGGAGGGAGAGCAGAGAACTCCTGAGGGAAAAGGAGCAGGGACAGCAGGGACAGCCCCCGGTGGCCTCATGGGAACAATCAGCTGTACCTCCCGAACTGCAGAGTGATTCCGTGCTGACATTTGTTTGTTGGGCAGGGCAGGCACCGGAGCAGGAGCCTGAGCCGAGCAGAGCTCGGGAGGCTGAGCCTGGAGCACCCCGAGCTGTCCCTGCACGGTTTAAGGTGAATCTGTGCAGGTGACAGAGCAGCCATGGGAGCTTCAGGGATGCCAGGTTCCTCCCAAGAGGAATTCTTGTTCTCTGAATGATTCACTTAAAAATCTCCACCAGGACTTATTATAAACACATGGAGTGGCTTAATGAAACAACATATTCCTTATAGAAATGCCATTAACCTGCAGCATTCATTGCTGTAACTCCTGAAGTTTCCTTTGCCTTTCCATGAACAAACATCAGGTGATGTCAGAGTTCAACTCCAGTCAGCTCCTGGCAGCTTTGGAGATTTAAAGATTTTAAAACCTTTCTTCTAATAAAACCCAGTCTTGCCCTTCCTGGACTTTGAGGAAAAGGGAATTTCTGTCCATGGAGCTGTTATTTGATGGTGAATGGTGTGGGCAGTGGTGGTGACAGGAAGGTCACTGTCACAGGAAGGTGTGACAGGAGCAGGGCTGAGCCTCTGTGGATGTGCTGGGATTCCCTCAAAGGTTGGACTCAATGATTTCTGGGGGCTTTTCCAACCCAAACAATTCCAGGATTCCACGATTCCAGCCTCCCAGGGAATGCACAGAGGCACGGCTGGCAGGGCTTGCTGGAGGAAAGGGAGAGATGACCGATGTTTGGGCAATTAAGTGTCTGACAGTTTATTAACATAAGATGGAGAGGCCTGGAGAAAGTGCCAGAAGTGAGGACAGGCAGGGCATTATTTTGGTGTGTTGCTTCTCACGTAGTCCCACGAGCCTCACCTCAGTCAGGAATTCTTTAGTGGAAGGGAGGGGGTTGTGATCTGCCTGTCTGCTGAGTAAAATCACCTACAAATAACTGGGAAAAAATAATCTTAAACCATGGACTGCAGCAAAGGGAAACAACGAGGTTTGGTTTCATCTGGCACTGAGTGCCTGTGTCTGACTGGGGGCTGTGCTGGCCTGGAGCTCCACATCCAAGGGAAAATTGTTCCTGCTCCCTGTTAGTGCCCAGCCCCTGGGACAGGGCAGTGGGGCTGGGGGAAGGAGCAGCTGAGGGGTTTGGCCTCCCTGGGCAGGACAGGGAGCAGCTGCAGGGGAGCTCTGGCCTGGATTTGTGCCCAGCTGCAGCAGCAGAGGGGCTGACCCCAAAGGCTCCCAAAGGGAGTTCAGCACCAGGAGAAGATCCGTCCTCATCCAACAGAGCCCTCGGGAAGCCCTTCCTGTGTCCATGGAAAGCTCGGTGGGAAAAGCTCCTCCCTCATTCCCGCTCCCCCCAGTTTCAGATCCGTGCGCCTGATGAAGAATGACACCATGAACTTCCAGAAATTCCCCTACACCAGCGAGGATGAGGCCTGGAAAACCTACCTGGAGAACCCCCTGACTGCAGCCACCAAGGCCATGATGAGGGTGAACGGGGACGACGACAGCGTGGCCGCCCTCAGCCTGCTCTACGACTACTACATGGTGGGTGCCCTGGGCTGGCAGAACTGGGGCAAAACTGGGGTAAAACTGGGGCAAAACCCGGGTAAAACTGGGGCAAAACCGGGGTAGAACTGAGGTAAAACTGGGGCAAAGCTGGGGGAAAACTGGGGTAAAAGAGGTGTAAAATAGGTGTCAAACATGTACCACCTTAACAGCGGACCCCTCTACTGAGCTCCCCCATCTCCTGAGCCGCCCCGGTTGTTTATCCAATACCCCACAGTGCCACCAGTGTCCCCAGAGGTAAACTGAGGCACAAACCAGCACTTGGAGGGAATCCAGAACGTGGAAAAGCTGAACCCAGTGCCCTGAGTCTGGATTTTTACCCATGAGGGCTTTGAGGGCTGTTGGGCTGGAGCAGCCTTGCAGACCCCACCAGTTTTATTCTCCCAGTGCTGCTGGAGGATGGAGCTTTGAGAAATGTGGCTCTGATTGGAAGCAATAGCAATGATGTCCCCATTTACTTGGAGGTTTTTAAGGGCCTGCCCAGAGAAGCTGCTGTGGCTTGTCCAAGGTTATTTGGGAGCCCAGGGCAGAGCCCAGCTCTGCTGTTTGCTCTTCTCGTGGGGTTTTATCTGGTTTTATTAGCCAGGGCTAACTCTGCTCTGTTTCCCTTTACCAAAATCCTGCCCTGACCAAACTCTGCCCTGTCCCAGGTGCCCAAGGAGAAGAGGATCCTGCCAGCTGGGATGGTGGCACGCAATGACCTGGCAAAGAGGTTGGCTTCAGTTCCTGCTCTCTGGGGCTGCCTCACTCTGCTGCAGCTGCTGAAGCGCAGGATGGGCTCTGAGCTTGCAGAAAATAGACATCAAAGCACGGTGTTATTACCAGCAACAGTGCAGCTCATTAACCCTGGGACACACATTAAAATTCTTTAGGCCAGGTCCCAAGCAGGGATAAATGGAGCTACACCCACTTACACAGCTGAGCATCTGTCAGGCTGTGCTCACAGGGGTTCTGCTGATTTGCAGCAGCAGAAGAAATTGCCTTTAGTTGCTATTTTGTGACAATTGCAAAGGGCAGAAGGATTGAGCACTGAATGGCCAAATCCTGGTTCATGCCCTGGGCTGATGAGAGTTTCTGTTCCACTCTCCCAGGATTCTCCTCCAGTGGCTCCCATTTGTCCTTTGAGGTTTTCAGATAATTGGCTATTAAATTAATGCCTCATTTGCCACTGTGAGTTCAGTTCCCCTCCCTGGGTGCTGTGTACTTTGGCATTGTCAGTTTTGAACCACTTGACAGAATAAACCTCCAGTGAAACTTCACCCCTTCAGAAGTAAACTGAGCTGCTTTTAGTTTTTGCTTCCCAAGTTGCTGGAGTTTGTGAATTTGTACAGTAATTGTTTTTCCTTAAAAAAGGGTATAAAAAAATGAACTTTGAGCATTGATGAGCCATAAAAAGACTTGTAATGGACAGCCCACACAGCATCACCTTTGTTATCACCCCTGCTGCTCTGAAATGAAGGAGCAGTGGATGTGCAGCCCCAAACCACATCCAGACCAAATTCCCTGGCTCCCTGTGGTCCTCCCTGATCTGCTGAGCACCTCTGGCTCTGCTGCCTGCCCTGAGAGCTGTGGGTGGAGATCCCCAGGGGCTGTCAGGGCTCCCAGGCACTGACTCAGGGTCAGCAGGCAGTGCCAGCGAGCTGGGGGTGCCCCCTCTGCCCTGCCCTGAGCCAGGACTGTCCCCAGCAGGCACTGCCACGGGATGGACTACGAGCCTGAGCTGCCCTCCTTCGATGGCTCAGCCCATCTCATGAAGCTGCTGTCAGAGAACGTCTCCATGAGCCAGGAGTTCTGCGAGCCCCCCAAGAAGAACGGCCCGAGCCTCGAGGGTGTCCCTGCTCCTCACAAGGCAGCCCTGCTCCCTCCGGGCACCAGCAAGCTGGAACCCACCCCAGACAACTTCCTGGTGGCCCCTGGGGACGTGTATGACAGCAGCTCCCTGAGCTCCCTGTTCGAGAGCCTGCCCATGGCCCCGGCCCAGCAGCGCTGGCAGCCCGACAGCACCTTCAAGGAGGACCCCCAGGAGGTCAGGCTGGGCTCTGGGGGCACTGGGCTGCTCCTGGGGGATTTCTGGGGTTTATGTTCATTTTGGAGGTCTGCTGTGGTGTCTGGGAGAGCTGGATGCCCAAAGCCATGAGAGGTTTGACTCTTGGTTTGTTTGCTCTTGTCTGCAGACGCTGCTCTTCAGTGACATCCTCAAACCCCAGCCAGAGCCACCCTGCCCCGAGAGTTACCCCACAGATGGAGTGAAGAGGTAACAGCAGGCCAGGGCTTTGGGATTCCAGGGACTCTTGGCTCTTTCCTGGGGAAGGACTGCGTCCCTTTCCTGTCCCCAGTCCAGCCCTGGCAGTGACCAGAGCAATTACAGATCCTGTGCTTGTGCAGGCACAGTTGTGTCTCCCTTTTGGAGCAAGGGGCTGCCCCATGAGCTTTTAGACCAAAGCTGGGATTGCTCTGCCCCCAGACTGGGCCAGTCCAGGGCCAGCTGCTGTCCCATCCCAGGGTGACAGCCCCTTCCTGCTTGCCTGGTGACACAGAGGGACCAGGTGGCTGCACCATGTCCCCACAGGCCACTCGGAGTGGGGTAAATGACAGGGAAAGGAGGCTGCCAGGGCAGGAGGGTGATAATCAGCCTCCCCTAATCTAAGGTTTGGGTCCTCACTTAGCACTGTTAGTCAGCCTTGATTTTAGAGGGTGCCACTGCCTCTCATTCCTAAAACATGAGAGGGATTTCTTCCTCCTTTCCACCCCTCTGCCAGGCTGAGCTTTGCTGCTCCAGATACCAAATCAAACCTCCCAGCAGGTAACATTATTTCACCTCCCACTTTTTATTTGCTCCTGAGTCAGCTGACTGGGTGAGTCAGCTGTCAGACGTGGGGATGTTCACACAGACAGCAGAGGCTCCTGCTCACTGTTTATTTGTGCACTGAACTCCTCTGGCTGTCCTGGCTGCAGATAAGAGGAGCTGCCAAGCCCATCTTCAGAGATGGCATCACAGGAGGTGGAGCAGGAAGAAGATGGGTTGGTGACTAAACAGGGCACTTGAAGGGTCTGAGTGAAGGCTCCTGTGCAGGTGGTGGCTTGCACAGATCCCTCCCAGCAGAAACCAGCTGTGGCCTCATGGTTTCAGTGCTCAGCTGCTGGTGAGGCCTGAGAGCTGCTGAATTCAGGCTCTTCTTTCAGTTTCCATTGCCAGCAGTGACACCTTCTCTGCGTGCCACCACAAAGCTTTTCTGTACAGATTAAAGTGGGTGCCCACCACAGTGAGGGTGTGAGCTGGGATTCTGAGCCCAGCTCTGCACAGCCAAGCAGGTGTTGGTGTCCTGCAGGTCCTTCTTCTACAGGGCCACTAAGGGAGAGTCCTCCTGGCTCTCCAGTTATGGGGATGGATTTGGAGCCAGGAACCTGAGTTAGATGTTGTAAAAGTCCCTTCCCAGGTCCCCATTTTTGTGTGTTTTGCTGCAGGCTGCTGGTTGAGCAATGGTTCTGTTGCCATCCACACACAAATGCTGGCTGCAGTCACATCCAGGGGTTTTTAAGCCAAAACTGGGGGTAAAATGAGGCTGTTGGGGCAGTGCTGCTCCCCAGGGTGTTGGGGAGGATCAGAATGTGCCGTGCTGTGTCAGGGTGTGTGAGGTGGGGAATGGAGCAGAAACTGGAGCCTGTAACCCGTGGGGTGGAGGCTCCTGGGGCTCTGTTTTGCTTTTGCAGTGAAACAGCAGCGTGTGCTTATTCATCCTTCTCTCTTTGTTCCATCCAAGTGACTTTGAATACACGCTGGGGTCACCCAAAGCCATTCACATCAAATCTGGGGACTCTCCCATGGCCTACCTCAACAAAGGACAGTTCTACCCCATCACGCTGCGGACAGCTGGAGACAGCAAATGTTTGCACTTGTCCTCAAATAAAGTGAAGGTAAGAGGCACAGACAGGCTGACAGCTCTGCTGACAGCTCTGGAATGGGACATGCAGCAGCTCCTCTGGCCTGGGAACATGAGCAGGAATGGCTTTGTGGCTCCTGTTGGCTTAAAGGGGTGAATGGGGTGGATTCAGTCCCCCAGGATAATCCTCTGCTGCCCTGCAGAGCCCCCCTGGCAGCTGGAACCTGTCACAGGAGCTCAGGGATGCACAAAGGGCCAGTGGGGCCCTGCTGGGACGAGCTCTGAGCCAGGGACAGGGTCCCCATCCTGCTCCTGGGATGTGTGGCCAGGCCAAGGAGCAGCCCCCGAGATCAATGTGCCCAATGGCTGAGCCCAAATCCCTTCCCCTGCCCTGCTCAGCTTCCCCAGCATAAAATTTCCTGTTGCTCTGTGCTGGGTCAGGGGGACACTGCTGTGCTCTGCTCTGAGCTGGCTGTGCTGGTCAGGGGACACTGATCACTGCTCTGTGCTGGTCAGGGGGACACTGCTGTGCTCTGCTCTGAGCTGGCTGTGCTGGTCAGGGGACACTGATCACTGCTCTGTGCTGGTCAGGGGACACTGCTGTGCTCTGTGCTGATCTGGCTGTGCTGGTCAGGGGACACTGATCACTGCTCTGTGCTGGTCAGGGGGACACTGCTGTGCTCTGTGCTGGTCAGGGGGACACTGCTGTGCTCTGTGCTGATCTGGCTGTGCTGGTCAGGGGACACTGATCACTGCTCTGTGCTGGTCAGGGGGACACTGCTGTGCTCTGCCCTGATCTGGCTGTGCTGGTCAGGGGACACTGATCACTGCTCTGTGCTGGTCAGGGGGACACTGCTGTGCTCTGCTCTGAGCTGGCTGTGCTGGTCAGGGGACACTGATCACTGCCCTGTGCTGGTCAGGGGGACACTGCTGTGCTCTGCTCTGAGCTGGCTGTGCTGGCTGTGTTGCAGAGCGTGGTGATGATTGTGTTTGACAATGAGAAGATCCCCACGGAGCAGCTGAAGTTCTGGAAGCACTGGCACTCCCGGCAGCCCACGGCCAAGCAGAGAGTCATCGACGTGGGTACGAGGGGCTGCCACACCACACCTGGGGGCTGGGCAGCTTCTGCCTCCTCTTCAGGGCCTCCCTGGCTCTGGGAGTCAGCCAGGGCAGGATCTGGGGCAGGAGGCCTCAGGGATGTCACCACTTTCAGCCCCAGTGCTAACTGCTCTCCCCTCCTTGCAGCTGACTGCAAGGAGAACTTCAACACGGTGCAGAACATCGAGGAGCTGGCCTACAACGCCCTGTCCTTCGTCTGGAACATCCACGAGGAAGCCAAGGTACAAACTGCCCTGCAGGGAGCTGGGAATGGTCCTCAGCAAAGCTGCAGCTCCCTCCTGAGAGCCCAGCCCTGCCCAGAGCTCAGAGGGAGGCAGAGCCACTGCACACTGCAGTGTTTGCCTGGCAGGACAGCAGGACACCGTGCTCAGAGTGCTCCAGCACGGCCATGAGCTAACAAACACTCTGGGTACACCCAGCCTGGCTCAGGGATGTTTTCTTAGTGCTGATGGATAACTCTGAAGAAAAGGTTTTGCAGCAATTCAGGGCTCTGCTCACATGTACCTGTTTAAATAAGCCCCAGCTGAGGGAACAAAGAGCCCCCTTTGCAGCAGGGGGATCCAGACAGACTGAGCACCCTTCTGTGGGGTGTGGGATGGGGAAGGGAGCCAGGCAGGTCACAAGATCCCTTTTCACCCTAAAACCAGCAAAGTTCATTACAGCAAAGCCTTTGCAGCTCTGCCTCTTCTGCATCTCAGACCTTTCATTAACACTTTGTATCTAGTGGGGATTGAAAAACAGATGAAGTAACTCAGAGAAAAAAGAAAAGCATAAATAGCCCAGGTCTCCTAAGCTTGGGAAAACCCTGCCTGGCTTTGGGATCTCAATGAGCCCAAAGGCAACCTGGGGCTTTTACAACCCAAGAGGTTAACAAATGTCTTCAAGGCAGAGCTGTCAGAAATGGAAATATGTCAGGTATGTGGCAAGCCCTGGGGGCATCTCAGCAAAACTGGATTTAACTCTTAGCAGAAACTCTGCTCACTCACTGGCCTGGGGCAGGGAGAGGTGAGACCTCAGAGAGCTGGGAGTGAGGCAGGAGGGGTCAGGGGCTGGAACAGGAGGGCTCAGGTGTTTGGGTGTTTGGGTGTTTGGGTTGGCCATGGCACCTGTTACTGCTCTATCTTCAATTAAACTTTACCCCCCAGTGAAGAGGTTTCTTTCCTAAGAACTGACTGGAGCTGACATTGGGTTTCAGGGCTGAAATCCTCAGCTGAGGGAGCTCTGGGAGCTTCTCCACCTGCAAATCTGTCCCCAGGGTCCAGGGGAATTCCAAGGTCACACCAGTGAATTGGCATTTGGGAGATACAATTTGGATTGAGCTGTGCTCAGCTTTCCTTCCAGAGTTCCCCCTGGAGTGAACTCCCTCCTGGTGATAAAAGAGCCCAGTGTGGGATGAATATTTATTTAGACAGCACTGCTGGGCAATTCCTGAGGCTGCAGCCTTGCCCTCCTCCCTTCCTGCAGGGCTTTGCTGTCTGAGGGTCCCTTTCAAATGAGAGATCAGAAATACCAGCAAGAACATCCCCAGGCAGGATTTGGGGAGGGGAGAGGCTGAGTTAAAGAGCTGCAATAGCTGTGGGGGAGAGGCTCAGGTGGAATCCAACTGCCCTGGGAGGGCTGAGCAGCCTCAGCAGCTGCTTTGGCCCCTTTTGAGGAGGCTTCCAGCAGCACCAAGGCTGTCCCTGTTTGCAGGTGTTCATTGGGGTGAACTGCCTGAGCACAGACTTCTCCTCTCAGAAGGGGGTGAAGGGGGTGCCCCTGAACCTGCAGATCGACACCTACGACTGCGGCAGCGGCAGCAGCCAGCTGGTGCACAGGGCTGTGTGCCAGATCAAGATCTTCTGTGACAAGGTACAGCTCTCCTTCCTCCATCCCAAAACACAGCTGGCCACAGGCCACAGGAGTGAAACCAGAGAGGCTGGGAGAGCCCAGAACAGCCCAGACCCCGGACTGTGCCCACAATAAACTCTATTCCTGACCAGTTGGTAAAATATCAAAAGAGATGAGAGTTTCCTTGGAGGTTCTTCCCCAGTCTCAGATATCTTCCCATGGAAAAATTTCTCACAGCTATTCTTGCCTGTGTGTTTCATTTTTAGAAGCAAATTTTATTTTTGTTTTTCTAATCTCTGAGTGTCAGAGAGTCTTGGCTTGGGTTGGGGAAGGTCCCTGAGTTAAGGCTGCCTTCACCTCAATGTGTCACACCCCAGAGGTGGCCATGGAACCAGTGTTAGAAATGTCAATGTCCTAAATTTCACTGGATCTTCCCACAGGGAGCAGAGAGGAAAATGAGGGACGATGAAAGGAAACAGTTCAGAAGGAAAGGAAAATGCCTGGACTCCAACAACAATGGTGAGTTCCTGTGCGTGCTCCCTCTGCAATCCCTGCCTGTCACCTTCCATGGACCTGGCTGTCCCCAGGCCTGCTGCCCTCAGGCCCTCGCTGGGCTCCTTCCCCTCCCAAAGCCCTCAGAGCACCCCCAGCCCCTGGCCATGGTTCTGGGCTGCCCTGGAGCTGCTCGGGCTCCCGTTCCAGAGCGAGGGGCCGAGATGAACTGGACTCTCCGTCTGTAGGTCTCAAAGGCTGTTTGCTCTCTGGCTTCAGAGGGAACGAGATCACCTTCCTGCGGCCCGAGAGCGACCTGGAGACGCAGCCCGTGCTCTTCATCCCCAACGTGCATTTCTCCGCCCCCCAGAGGTGTGGCTCGGTGAGTGCCCCGGCCTGGCTCCCCCTCCGGGCTGCGCTGAGCCCCCCGAGCCCCCGGAATGGGGGAAAAGCCCCAACCCAGCCCAGCTCTGTGGGATTGAGCTGAACTCCAGTCCTGAGGGCCTGGCCATGCAGCAGTGCAGGGTGAGAGAACCCCTGCAGGTGTTCCTGTGCTTTACACACCTGCACAGGACTGTAGTGGGATCAAAAATAGCAATAGAAAATAAATTATAGCAAAATGTGACCACCTCAGTCCCTGTGTGGGTGGGACATCCCCCCACTGTCCTCTGTCCAGTGGCCTTCAGAGCTCCTCAGCATTCCCTGCCTCAGTTTGTCAAAACCAGGGAATCTGGGGAAGTTCTTTACATCAAATTTCATTTAATCTAAGAAACAGATCTTTGGGTTTAATTGTGTGGGAAAACTGATGGAGGAGGGAAATCAGGTTTGAAGTGTGCCCAGGTTGCCTCCCCCAGCCTGTCCAGCACACAGTGATGCTGTGCACACTCACAGATCCGTTTCCTTTGCATTCCAGGTGCTCCCTCCTGCTGTTCCCAACTCTGCAAACAGGTGAGGATGCACAGTGTGCATTTCCCACCCATCAGCTGCTCTGTTCCTTTGGGGCTGTCGGATACCCCAGGGCAGGATAACACAGCTCAGAGTGTCCCTGATGCCCTGAGAGTCAGAACATGAGTTAAACCTTGTCCTGGCAGGGACTCAGGGCTGCAGGAACATGGACGCATTTCTGTCCCTGTCAGTGTCACTCCAACACGAGCTGCTCCCTGATTGTCCTGCTGTTCTCATGGAGACAATGTCTGAAAGGGAGAATAAAACATCACAACTGGCACTGAAGGGCTCAAACACCCAGAGGCTGGAAAATAATCTGGAATGAAGTGGGATCACACTTGAAAAGCAGAATCCCCCCCCACAGGAGGTGCCGGAGGATTTTGGGTTTGGTGACCCCAAACCTCAGCAGGCCCTCCCTGAGCTGTCCTGTGCTGCTGTAATTACAAACCAACAGTTAATTGCTGGCTGGCTGTGGGAGTGAGTGGCTGTTCAGGCAGAGGCTGGGCAGCTGCAGGAGTTTGTGTCCTCCTGGGGGTGTCTGTCCCTGCCCTGTGCCCTCCTGAGTGTGTCTGTCCCTGCCCTGTGCCCTCCTGAGTGTGTTTGTGTCTGTCCTGCCCAGGCTGCCCCTCAAGCGGAGCGGGGCCTCCTTCGGTGACGACTTCGACGCGGTGCCCCCAAAGCACAGCAAGGACGAGGATCCCCAGAGAGGTAACCCTGGGACCCCAATCCCCTGAGCCACAGGGCTTTGGGAGCCTGGCAGAGCCCCTGAGCAGGCCCTGTTCTCCTGCAGTGCTGCTCTACGTGCGCAGGGAGTCCGAGGAGGTGTTCGATGCTCTCATGTTGAAGACCCCGGACCTGCAGGGCCTCAGGACAGCTGTGAGTGTCCCCAAAGCCCCTGGGAGTGTCCCCAAAGCCCCAGGAATGGACAAACTGCAGATAAAAGGGGATGGGGCTGGTGACCAGGGAACTGGACATGGGCTGCTCATCTGCCCTGCCTGCTGTCCCTTGGGAATGGGAATGGAAGTGGGAGCAGGAGCTGAGCTGTCCCCAGAGCTCCTGGCGTGGCTGTGTTGTGCTGCAGAGGGAGGATCACACCTCCTGCCCATCCACACCTCCTGCCCCATCCAGATCCTCAGGGAAGTCTCTTCTTGTGACAGCACATTCATATTTTCCACTGTCAAACACCTTTTCCATTCTCCAGGCTGGGGATGTTGATCTGAAACCCTCCCTGGCCTCGTGCTGGAATTCCCTGGCTGTGTTTGAGGAGCACAAGGACATATTTCTGTCATGGTTATCAGCAGCATCTCTGATAACCCAGCCCTCTCTGGAGACTGCTGGGAAGGAAACAAACAATAAACCTCCCAGATTTGGGGTGGCTTTATGGCTGCACTTGAAGCTCTGTTGCTTTTACAAACTTTTAAAAATAGGGCGTTTGAAAAATGTCAGCACAGGGGATTCTTTGCCATCTTCTCCTTCCCCCATCCCTCACCACAGAGAGTCCAAAACCTTCATGGAAAATGCTTGGCAAAAACCTCCAAAACTCCTGCCAGCCCAAACCAAAACTGAGCTTGCCCAGGAGAATGTTCAGGTCATGGTTTTGTTCTCTGCAGTAAAACTGAGGGTGAATCCTTTGCTGCTGAACACCCTGGCTCGCTGGTATCTCTGATTTTTATCACGGGAATTTCACTTTACAAGTATGAGAAATTGCCATGTTTTCTCTCACAGATTTCAGAAAAATATGGGCTTCCTGAAGAAAGTATTTACAAAGTCTACAAAAAGTGCAAAAGAGGGTAAGCTAATCTCTCATCTGCTTTTCTGCTGTGCCTCCAAAGCTGTTCCCTCCAGCCCCTGCCATTGGCTCCAGGAGCATTTTAACAAGATAATAAAAGGTAGAGCCATGGCAGGCTCTGCTATTTGCAGCATATAAAACTCAGATCTTTCTGGGCTTTAAAGATTTGGGATAATGCCTGTTTGCATTATATTTGTTTGGAGGGTAAAGTCTCCCAAGGAAAGGAAGTTGGGTGAAGGTGGAACTGTTTGGGGATTCTTTGTCTCAGTCTGAAAGCCTGAGGTTATGGAGAACTTATCAGAGAGGGATCAGTGTTTGCTGCTCCAAAAAATGCTGGAATGTCCCTGGCTCAGGATGAGGGCTGGGCCATAGTGAGCCTCTGAATTCTTCCACCTGCTGCTGATGCTGCTCATCCCTTAGCCCCAGAAATGGGAATTTTCTCCCCAAAGGAAAAGAGCAGCACTGGTGGCTTCAGGGGAGAGGCCACCTCACTCACTTTGGCTTTGGTTTTGTTCATGCCTTGATCTGATAAGCGGTGAGTGTTTGGTGATGACTGAGAGGGAAACCAGGCAGGAGGAGCAAAGAGGTATCTCATGAAAAGGAAAGGCCACACCTGGAAATTAGATTAAATAAATAATTTTGACACCTGGTTTAATGAAGGCTGGATGTGACCCATGCCAGCAGCTACTCCTGAAGTGTGGGAGATTGGAGATAGCTGCACTCAGGCTGGTGGCAGGGTCAGGCCCAGCTTCCTGCTCCCCCAGATTTAATTTTCAGTAATTTTATCCTATTGCTCCACCCTAAACAATCTTCCCTGGTAATTACAGCTTGAGGGGCAGATCTCCATCAGGTGAGAGCCAGTGCAGCTCAGTGGGACTGCCCGGCCTGGCAGCAGGGCAGGGCCTGCCCCAGCCATGGCCCTGCCACAGGGGTGAGCTCAGCACAGGAGCTCGGTCCCAGGGTGACTCAGGAGCAATCAGGAGCAATTCTGGATCTTGGTGAGGTTTGGTCTGGAGGAACAATCCAGGGCTGATTCCTGATCAGCGTCCCTGGGATTGTTTGTGGCTCAGCAATCAGATGGGAGCTCAGCACAAGGGGCACAGGTGACTTCTGTGGCTCCCTGCTCTGGGGCAGGCACAGATGGAGGGACCAGCTCTGCTGGGGAACCTTTTGGGTACCCACAGAGTCTGTGGGGCACCTGCTGGAGCCAGAGCTGGAGCCAGGGCTTGGGGTGCTGCTGGGGCTGGTGCAGCCAGGAGGATTCCGATGCCCTGGGCAGGGCCAGACCCCAGTGCCAGCAGCCCCTGGAACTCCTGACTGTGCCAGGACAGAGCTCCCAGGGCTGGTGACTGTTCTGTGCTGGATCTTCCCTTGTCCTGTGCCATGGCTTTAATTCATTCATTAACAGTGGCTGAGCCCCTCAGACTGGGGAAGGTGAATTGCTTTCAATGTGCTGCATCTGACCCAGCCATTCTCCTTCTCTGCAGGATCCTGGTGAACATGGACAACAACATCATCCAGCACTACAGCAACCACATGGCCTTTCTGCTGGACATGGTAGAGGCAGAGAACAAGTTCCAGATCATCCTCAAAGAGCTCTAAAGAGCTGCAGGCAGCACTTCCTGGCACTTCTCTCCGAGCTGGCACGTGTGACCCCACAGAACTCAGCCCTGTGCCCGCTCTTGTTGCCTTGACTTGAACCCCACGGCCCCGGGGCCGGGCCACAGACTGCTGTGAGATCATCCTGTGAACGTGGAACTTGGCTCTGTTGACTTTATTATTATTATTATTATTATTTTTTATTATTATATTTGATTCCCTTCTGGCAGCGGGCCTGAGCTGCCGTTTCAGAGCTGGGCACACGAGGTGACACTGCCAGGCCTGGGCAGAGAGCAGAGCTGGTGGCCCTGGCAGGGAGTGATGCCAGCCCAGGCCTTGGCCTTTCCCAGCAGGGCTGAGCCTGCTCTGAGCTCTGAGCTCCCCTCTGGCACAGAGACTCTCCCAGCTGCAGCCCCAGCTGAATGGACACTGCCTGCTGAACACCCTCCCTGCACATCTCTGACTGTAAATACCACGGAGGCCTCCACAACCCCTGTTTATACATTTCTGTGTTGTTCCTTTTGTATTTTATATGTGTATAAATATGCATTGTTTTATACTGGACTCAATATGTGACACAGAGCATTTCAAACACAGGCTGCTTCACATTTCTCTGTGAACTCCTTTTGTAACTGTGTTGTTGGTTGTGTTGTTTTGGATATTCTGTACTAATAAAGGCTCAAGGACTGAAAATGAAGCATTTCCCCCAGCTCTGGAGTTGGGATGGGCTGGCCAGGAGCCAGGGCAGGGAGGTGACCCCAGAGGCACCAAAAGGGCTCCAGGATGGTTTTGGCCAAGGTCTGTCCCCTCTGCAGCCACCGTGTCCAGCTGTGTCACCAGGTGGGACCGGGTCCCTGCACTCCTGTGCTCAAACTGCCTCAAGCTGCTTCCCATTGGGGTCATCAGATGCCAAGGGGAGCACTGCATTTTCTAATTAATCCTCTGACCAATGAAAACCAGGGCTTGCCTCCTCCCTCTTCTTCATCCTCTGCTTTTCCTGGCTGTGGTAAAGATGTACCTGAGGCCTGTGAGTGGGGAGGAAAGAAAGAGCCCTGGGAAGGGGATTTGGAAATGCTGGAATGTGTCAGCTTGGTGAGTTTTGGATTACTTCAGTTCTGTTTGAGGATGGCCTCTGAGATGAAACACAGATAAGCTGCAGGTTTATCAGCCTTTGGGATCTCTCCAGCACTCCTTCCCTTCAGATCACAAACTCCTTCTTCAGCAGGATGGCTCTGAATCAGTGTTGATTCCGAGTCCTCCTGCAGCAGTTTCAGCTCCAGTTCAAACCAGTGCCACCAGGAATCGCCCAGGGCTCGGTGTCACCAGCTGGAAGCTGCAGGTCCCCTGTGCCCTGCTGTGCCAGGGGACTGTGGGGACAGCTGGCTCTGCTGTGCAGATGGGGACAGCTGGGGAGGGTGCAGGCAGCCCTGGGCTGTTGTGTGCACGCAGAGTTGGGGTTTGGGGACCTCTCAGCCCTCAGTGAGTTGCTCTCAAAGTCTGATCTTCCTGCCAGACAAACATTTACCCGTGTGAGCCTCAGTTCCCCCAGCAGCACCACTCCTGATTTACAGCAGCAAGAGCCATCTCAGGTGTAACTTTGTGTTCCCAGCAGAACAAGGATGAATTTTGCTGGATGTTTTGGGGCTCCCTTTCCCACAAACCCCTCCTGGCTTTCGCAGGGGCTGCAGCTCCCCGGGTGTGCCCTGGGACAGTGACTGCCCGCTCTGGGGTGGGATGGGGGCAGACCCGGCCGTGTTTCCGTGCGGGTCGGGGCAGTCCGGGCCGTGCCGGGCCGGGTCCCGGTGCCGGCTGCGAGCAGGGAAGCGCTGCCGGGGCAGAGTCCCCAGCCCTGCCCGGCCAGGTGGGTGTTTTGCTGACTGCTCAGTATCGCTCATCCCTTCCAGCCAAGGCGAGTTGCTGGGAGGTTGCGCAAAGCAGAGCTCCCAAATATGTGAGAGCATTCCTGACTCCTTGCCCGGAGCCCACCAGTTCCTTTTGAAGATTGAGATAGGAGCGATGAAGGCGATTTTCACCCCGAGCACCAAAGGTCGTGTGAAAGCAGCAGGGATTGCTCAGGGCTCCCTCGGGAGCTGCTCTGTGCTCAGAGCTCACCTGGGCTGCTCTGGGGGTGGCACAGGGGGTGGGTGACAGACCCCAGTGCCCGTCCCTGGCCAGCAGCACCTGCCCCTGCCCTTCTCCCTGACTCCCATCCCCTCCAGGGTGACTCCCCAGCCTCCAGCACTGGGAGTTCTCAGGAAAACACAGAGGAGCCCATTGCTTGTTTTAATTACTCAACATCTACAAACTGGAAGCTTTCAAACCAATTTTAGTTAATGATCATCTCCCAATTCTTAGAACTGAGTACCACTAATTAGCTGCCTGTGAGCCAGCCCTGGCAGGCCAGCACAGGCCTGCTCACGGTGAGCAGAGTCTGAGGGAAATCCTGATGCAGGAATCCCACTCTGGCATCCCGGCTGGGGAGGAAGGAAAACTTCCCCAGTGCCCACAGAGACAGAGATGCATAAAAAGGAGCAGCAGTGAGAGCTGAGTTGTGCAAGAGCTCTGGTATCCCCAGTGCTGGGTGGAGGGCTCTGCTCCTCACTTCTACAAACAACACCCAGTTTCTGTGTCTTTATTCGTGCTTATTCACTGCTTGCATCATCAGGCAGGCAGCTGAGGAGCTCGGTGTGTGGTGTGGCTCTGCAGGGCTGTGAAGGAAAAACAGCATCCTGTGTTTTGTTAGGACACCCACACACGTGTCCGGAGGTGCCCTGGTGCTGTGCTGGGCATGCAGGGGAGGATTAAAGTCAGGGAAGTCAAACCCTGCCTGCCTCTGTTTGTAAGTGTGCAGAGCTTTAATGAACCTGCTGAGGGCTCCCCCAGCTCTCATTTATTTCCCCAGGTAGTGCCTTGGATTTATAGAATAAAATTTTGGGTGAGGTGGGCACTAGAACCCCCAGAGCTGTGGGAATGCCCTGGGATCATCAGCTGGAAAGTGGGCACAGAGTGAGAGCTCAGTGCTCACAGATTTGGGATTTACCTCAGTGAGCTGAGGGTTGGCTTGGCTGCACTTTTGGCTGGGAGTGCTGGGAATGCTGAGCCCAGGCATGAACTGCTGAATAACCAGCCTTTGGTGAAGCTGCTGTGTCAGCCCCTGCCTGACTGAACTGTGATTGTGCCTCCCTGTGGCTCTGCTCTTTGGGGCAGGCCCAGAGCAGCTCTGGGTGCTCATGCACCGGTGTGGCACTGCACAAATCACGTTAGCCGAGCCTGGCACAGCGAGCCAGCGGGCACGGAGGGAGCCAGCGGGCACGCAGGGATCCTGCACGGTCCCACAGCTCCGCCCCGCAGGAGCAGGCTCTGCCCCCAGCCCGGGCCGAGCCCGGCAGGATCCGGGCAGGGAAGAAGGGACAGGGATGGGTTTGTCGCTGTGTCCGCCTCACCAGTGCTGCTGTCAGGGTGGGCACCCAGCTCTGCAGCTGCGCCCTGCTCTGCCTGGGGGCTGTGTTTAACCCATTCCCCTCTGAGGTGGGTCCCTCCTCTGGGTTCCCCAGCAGGAAATTGATTCCAAGCTGCAGGATGTGTTTCTTCTCCCTGGTTTCTTCACTCAGTTCTGGGTGAGGAAAGCTCTGGTGAAGCCAGAGCAAAGGGATGCTGGGGGTTCTGATGCTGCTCTCTGCTCCCACCCTGTCCCCTGCAAGTGCTCCCCTCTTCCCATCACAGAGGAATTCTGCAGCTGGAATGTGTTGTACCAACAGTCAGTGATGTGAGTTTTACACACACAGAACTCACAGAACCTGTTTGTCCAAAGCCCTGACAGTCAGTGATGCTTTAATGGCCTTTACACTGCAAACACGCTTTTATTTTTTCAACCTTACCTTTAAAAATAATATTGTAAAATATGAACCAGCCAAGCTGGACAAGGAGCTGGCAGTGAGGACTCCAGAGGTGCTGGGTGGCCCTTGGGGTGATGCTTAATCCTTCTAAGCCAAAATCTTTGGGAGATGGAAGGGCTCTGGACAGCCTGTGGTGTTTATTGTAAAATCCATGGATTTGCCATGGTCCAGCCCTGCACAGACCTGGTGCTCCCCTCTCCCCAGGGCTGGAACAGGACAGGGATGCCAAAGGACCCCAGCTGGGAGTCCCTGCTGCTGTCCCACAGCAGAGGGAGCAGGCTGTATCCCAGCAGCTGGGTGTGGAGTGTTTGTGTGTTTTCTGATAACAGCCTGGGGATCTTCCCTCCTCATATTTAATTTGCCCTTTCCTCCAGCCCTCTGTCCTTATCAAATCCCTGCTGGCATTGCTTCCCTCCCAGCTTCCTTTTCCCCAAACCTCTGATAGAAGATCCAGCTGCTGAGAGATGTAGTAAAGATTTCCCTGTTGGGTAAGGAGAGCCCTGGGCTTTCTCATGGGCTCATTCTTTTCCACGGTCAGGAATTTATTGATGATCTTAATCTCAGGCCTGCAACGTCACTGTGTGGTGACAATAAATGTTTTTGAACGATCTGCTGATGGATTTATTTGCCTTCCCATGAGGATCCCAAGGGGTGGGAGGGCTTGGGAGAAGGGAGTTTCTGTTCATGCCTTTTCATCCCTCTGGAGTGGTGGCAGGATGGAATAGCTGGGAATGGCAGTTCTGGCTTCTAGGGAAGCACTGCTACAGTGAGCCTCTCTCCAGCTCTCATTCCCAGCTGGGGAAATGGCCAGGGGAAATGGCCAGGTTTCATCCATCAGCTGCCCTGGGGTGCTGTGCAGACAGCAATGTCCCTCCCCACTCCTGCCCCAGGGTCCCCCCATTTGGGTCTTTATCCTCAGTGTTCCTCAGGGGAGAGTTCAGGCACAAAACCAGCCCAAAGGCTCTGCTTGGGATGTGAGGAATCTTTTTCCAGGTCAGGTGTGCTCTGGTTCTTGCTCCATGCCATGGGGATAAGAAGTGGCCCCCACATCCCAGGGTGGTGCAGCTTTAATTACTGTTTGTAAATGTCTGGGAGATCAGCTGATAA